AATATATATATATATATATATATATATATATATATATATATATATATATATATATATATATATATATATATTGATCCAGTTCCTTCGCTATATATAAAATTTGGTCTTTAACAATGCATTTTGGACCGAATGTAGTGCCTAGGCATATTTGGATCTAACTGAGAACGGCATTTTCATCCATTGAAGTGTCTCCCACCTGTCTTCTTCGTTCCCATGTAGTTTTTTTTGTAGAATTTGATTTGCTTTTCAAGGCCGGAATCACTTGAACTTACAAAATTACCCATCTTAGTTAGAAAAACAGCAGATCGTTGACCTTTTGCGCTGTTTGTGTATTTCTTTGTAATGTTGTTTTTTTCTTGGGACTGTCAGGAAGAACCGAACGTAAGATCTGCACAGTTGCACGATGAAGGGTCAAGACATGGCTGATGACAAATTTTATTGCCACGTGTAGGTAAACGTTTGGGCATTTTTCTCTCTATAGCACTCTTGAAATCCCAACTCGTAAATCCCTAGATGACAGTAGTTTCACTTGCAGGCTTGTGTTGTTCTTGATGTGGAAATATATTTAAGAATACAATAGGATTTCTGCTTTGTGACTAAGGGATTCCTCCTTTTAAAGCATGCCTGGATCTTGTGAAATAGAGGGCAGAAATGTAGAAGAAAAATAATATAACCCTGTAAAGTCTGTTGCATTTGTTGTGACCATTCTCAAAGATAAAATCAAGCAAGGGAAGGTACCTGCAATTATAAAAAAGAAGAAGTAAGAGCTACAATATAATATAATGGTATTATTTTTCCATTTCTCTATATTATGCATGATATTTTGTACCTTAGGTATCAAAATAGGCACCCCAACCCCACCCAGTTAGTTGTAGGTTGTATGACTTGTATCCACATTTCTAGTTTTGTATGAATAAGGATTAGGATATACAATTATTATTATTTGTACAAAGATTGTACAAAGTAATGTTGCATCTTGTATGAATGTGAATTATTTCTTTTGTTTTACTATTATTCTTGTAATTTACTTTAGGTAGTGTTTGGCAACTAGCAATTCATTTCAATTCCAAGATTTGAAATCTTGAATTTCAAATGACAAAGAGAGGTGCATGGATTTCAAATTAATCTTTATTATGAATGAGATGAATTTGACTCAAATCCAAATTCAAAATTTTTGAATTTCCCAAACATGGAATTTGAGTAGGCAATTATTGTAATAAGAAGTCTTTAAATAAATAAACATGTGTGTGTATCTTAAATGTATAAAATCATATACTCAATTGTCAATTTTAAATTTTAAACAAGTGCTCTCATCAGAAAATAATTCTATCACTTGAAGTTTTTTACTCCGTATTTGTCTATAGAATTCGAACAATTTAGAGATTGTAAATAGTTTAAAAAACAAAAAATATAATATTACAAATTTTGGAATGAAGATATCTACTCATTATATTATTCAAATCTTTTCATAATATTATTTGTTACGAAATATTAATACTCCTTTCGTTGATAAATCATTCCTATTTTGACTTTTAGCCAAAATAAGGAATGTATTTTATGGTTGACTTTCCAATTTTGACATTAATGTGATAGATAAAAGTAAGATATGATAAATAGATTATTAGTGAAAATGTATAATGTGATATATAGGGTAAGAAAAAGTAGGGGTAAAAATAGTTTTTTAATACAAAGTGGAAGTGTTTTGAGAAAAGAGAAAAAAATGAAAGAGGAATTGCTTTAAGAAACGGAGGGTGGACTATTTTTCTGAGTGTTATTGATTTGATTATAAAATAGTATTTATTCATGTTTTTTCAACCTAATAACGCATAATGAGTCAATGCATTTGCCTCCACCGGGGCTCAAACCTGGGTGACTTCTCATGAGCTTTGGGGAGTCGGTTTTTTACGACTCAAGCCAAGAGAGTTCACACTATTTTATTAAAATAACAAAAAACATTCTACATAGTTGGTTAAGCCGCACCGTTAGAGGTCTTGACTGTATGGTAACTCAACCGGACGGAGTCGCAACCGATTTACCAATTCTAAGTGCGAACCGGCAATGACTGTATATTTGAGAGTTGACTTATTCCGATTGCAACGTTGACATATCCTATAATTGACTAATGGATAACCGATATTCATGTACGGACTCCCATAGAGTGCCCAAGTTAACGATTACATAAATACACAACTACACAATTAGACAACAACAACAACAACAATACTTGGTGTTGATGATGATCGTGATAATTATAATACTCATCTGTCTCAAAATTATCGTCACATTTCAAACAACGTGAAGAATTTCATCTCTTTCAAAATTATTTTATGCAACTTTCGAGTTTCGACGTTTATCATGAGTTATCCGAAAATAGCCGCTCAATATTTTAAAAATAGGGATATGCTGCGTACGATTATTACCCATGATGCTTTGACCAGTTGCCTCTTTAGAAACAGTCTCTTAATTTTGAATATGGGTAAGACTTGTGTACCACACCATCTTCAGACCATACTTTTATGGAATTTAACTCGATAGTTGTTGTTTGTTGACAAGTTAGTATAGAAATAAAAAATATTCCGTAGTACGTATAATTTACATATTTTAGAACTATATAAAATATTATATACGATATCAAGATGTGACTTGAATATTTTATTTTATAAAATGGTCAATAAAAACATACAATCAAACAAAAATTATCGAGAGTCTAGGAGAGTAACTATGACGACAAATCCGGGATGAAGGAGTAATAATACTCCTTTCATCCCACAATAATGTTCTACTTTACTATTTACATAGTAAGAATATACTACGATAAAGGAGTATGTGCTTTCTTTACCTATTTTTATTGATCATCTGATAAAAATAAAAGGTTTTGTTACAATTTGTTTTGTAGAACTTTTAAATTAATTTTTAAATATATACCCATAAGTTTTGTTTATTAATTTTACATTAAATTTTATATACTATTCACGAATTAAAAATATTTTTTGTCAAACATTATAGTCCGAAACTAGAACATTATTATGAGAGTGAAATGAATGCAATGGTAGAGCCATGATCCAACACGAGAGAGGGTACATTCATCAGGTTAATTATTTTGGTTGTGGTCAAAAGAGGTCTAAAAAAAGTTCTCACAGTCATTTTATCGAAAACATAGTGTGCACTAGCAAAAACTGAAATTTTACTTCAATAAAATCAATTAAAGAGGAGGTTAACTTAAAAAAGAAAGAAAGAGAGAAAATTGAATTGGTTTAATCTATGGGTATTTTTTCATGGATAGTTTTCTTTTGACTTTCTGTCCCTGTTAAATTGAAAGTTAAAAATATTACTTCACATCAACTCTATATCCGATGATATATTCGGATGTCAGAAAATACAACCTTAAATGACTATGAGTGTAGATTAGGATTTTGACCTAAGACGACATGTATATACTATGGTTGCAATAAATAACTCTAGTTGACAAATGACACATCAGCAACGACATCTGAAATTGAATATGTAAAGGTCTATTTGTGAAAAGGTACAAATAAAAGGACCTTGAATGTAATTTTTGACAATAGAACACTAAATATGAAAAATCAATGTTATAAGCACCAATTATACAACTCAGGGTTTGTTCCGCAAGACTTATTTTTTCTGCTTATTACTTATTCTTATTAAAATTAGATCGAATAATATCAGATCAGGAAAAAATAATAAAAATAATGTTAATTTTTTTCAAGGATTAAATAACAATTACTATTCGATTGAATCACATTGCTTTATTTAAAGCTACACACACTAAATATTAATTAATATTATAAATTTAAATATGTTTATTATTATTATTATTATTATTATTACTCTGTGTTATTATACGACAGATGAAGTATTATTATTATTACTATTACTATTATTACTATTATTATTATTATTATTATTATTATTATTATTATTATTATTATATCAACAACAAACCATTATTACTACTAATTGCTTAGCTTGTAGGAATGATGCATAAAAGCTATATTAGGACTTAAAAAGTTAATATTTTTCATATTAAAAAATAGCTATTTTAAAATACTTGTTTATAAAAAAACATTTGGTTAAAAAAGAATTATACAAAACTTAATTTTTAAAAGCATAAATACTTTCTTATTTTACTTTTTTCTATGTATATATGATGAACTGTAGTACTTAAAATTATTAAATTTCTTGTAACAATTATAAGTTAAATTTAAATCAAATTTAAATTCAATCACACGAGATGAGATCTAATCAGATCATATGAGATCCAATCATATCAAATCTAATTATAGTAATTTGCAGTATTACTTGAGCTCTTTTTTGAATGCTAAATTGTAGAAAATAATAATGGAGAATAATTTTGTATTGAATTGTCTTCGCGATTACAAAAATTCAACCCTCTTTATATAGATAGAGAGTCAAACAAATAAGTAAAGTTCTATTCCTACCATAATTCATAATTTTATTCCTACTATAACAAGAATAGGAAAACTATCAAACCCTAAAACATATCCTAACACTCCCCCTCAAGTTGAGAATGAGGATCACGAATGAACAACTTGAATAATAAAACCTCGGGAAAAAATTGATAAATAACTTGAACTTGATCTGCTGTGACAACAACGAACGAAGGTGACTGGCCCTGCAAACAAACAATAAATTTTGATGACGAATGACTCCCACGCGGTGACACGGGGACGACTAACAAGCATCCCAAACTTGGAGGCCGTGTTTCCGGACTGAGGCGCGACTATGCGACCAACCTCACAAACAGATATGTCGAACTGAGGCGCGACTATGCGACCAACCTCACAAACAAACATGCTGAACATACAACTTGTTGCACTTGAACATACCAAATAGCAACCAAAAAAACAATGTCGCCAAAAACGTCATCAAATTTCAATGAACGGCAGAGTGAACATAAAAACCTTCTTCTGCGGAGCGCGAACAAAACAAAACAAATAACCACTTTGGCAGATCAAACTTAGCAAACTCCAAACCAAAGTTTGGTTTTGTTTGGCGGGACATAACAAGCGGCAATGAAGAATAACAAAGGACGGTGGCGACGAGCATATGGTTCCAGGTTAGCAAACCGCAACTCACGGAGTAACAAACTCATATCAAACTTTGAGGTGCCCAAACTTTTAGGCAAGGATAATCATCAACCTTTGTCTAGTGGAAGACAAATCACAAATACTACGTACATCCTAATTTTGAGGCACCAACACCAAATTTTTGCCAAACGAATACTGCTCCTGGACGACGAAACTGGGCTGCTCCACTGAGGCCACTGAGGCACTGATTATGTCTTGAAGATGATTTTTTTTTCGATTGGGTGAAAAAAATAGGTAGTGGGAATAGAAGGTGATGCCGCCGTCGCCGGACAAACCACCGGCGACGGCGACCGCGGAAGCAACGATTTAGAGTAAACTAGGGTTTAGGTTCCCAGGTTGGCTCTGATACCATGTAGAAAATAATAATGAAGAATAATTTTGTATTGAATTGTTTTCGCAATTACAAAGATTCAACCCTCTTTATATAGATAGAGAGTCAAACAAATAAGTAAAGTTCTATTTCTACCATAATTCATAATTCTATTCCTACTATAACAAGAATAGGAAAACTATCAAACCCTAAAACATATCCTAACATAAATCTTATAAATTTAATAAAATGTTAAATATAGTAATATACGATATTACTTCCCCTTTAAATGAATTTTTTACTTAAATTATTCAATTTTAGAGTCAATTTATTAGAAAAAATCTAATACCCCTGAAATTTTATCCCAATATATTCGAATACAATTCAAGAAATGTGTCATCAACCACCCACATTCAAGTCTAAATACGTACGTGCTAGAAAATGATCATTATTGTGATAAAAATGATAGAATCAGTATTTAAACTTCATCTTTCCGTCCAACTTGACGAGAGATGAACGAGATTTTTTAGATTGTTAAA